GTCGCCCGTCGCTAAACCCCATTCAGCAGCACCCTCCGCCACCAAACCCCACCTCCCCGGTACCGAACCCCATAAATACGACCCCAGGTGACGCTGGCGTCCCCACACCATGACCCTCCCGTGCCTGGCCCTGCTCCTGGCCCTGCTCCTGGCCACCGGTCCCCGGCCCCCCACCGCCGGCATCCCCCAGGACCCCCCCGGCGACGCCATCCCCACCAGCGCCCGACCTTGCGCCCAGCACACCGGCCGCTGCCGTCGCTTCTGCTTCGCCCACGAGACGCAGCGGGGACATTTCGGTTGTCCCCGGCGCTACCGGTAAGACGGGGATGCCGGGACTGACCGCCCCCCCAAAATAACTGGTAATCCCATGACCTTGTGGGGGGGTCATCTTCTCTTCCAGGTGCTGCGTGCCCAAAATGTAGCGGCGGGATGGAGGTGACGATGTTGGGGGCCATCCCGCATCCTTCCCCGGCGGGGTCATCTCCCTTGGGATTTTCCCAATATTGGCTGGATTGCACCCATTTTGGGAGGATTTTATTTGGCAGCAGCACGTGGACGTGAGGTCGCTGTCACTGTCGGGATGCCACAACCTGTCCCCTAAGGAGCAGAATAAAAAAAAAACCCCGAGATTTGAGTGCTTTTTCCCATGGGAATACGGGGCAAAACAGCCTGAACCAGGAAAGTGAAGAAAATGGGATTAAAAAATGGTAAGAAAGGGGAATTGTCTCTCTGCCACATGGGGAGGACATAGGAATTGCCAGTATTTTTAACTAAACCACCATTTTGGGGTATTTTTTCCCCAGGGGACCAGCTGCTCTCAGTGGTACCTTCTGCTTTTTTGCCGCTACCAGGTGAAAAATGCCGATTTTTGGTGACGCAGCAGCATTTCGGGTGCCGTGCCGGCATCCCCCCAGCCAACCCGCAGCAGATCCTCCACCCCCGCCCAGGTTGCCAACAACATCTATCTGATGGGTGATTAAAAAGCCAAGCGTTAATCAAATAAAAGCTATGCGATGCCGAGCCTCCGGTGCATCTAAAATGTCCCCGGTGAGGTCCTGGCATTTCTGTGCATGCCAGCTCCGGCTGCTGGCGGTCAGGAGTGACAGTCCCCCCCCACGCCCCCTTGCTAAAATGGCTCTGTTTTAGGAAGTTTTGAGGTTCTGCTCGCCGCGGTCAGAGGTGTCCAGGGTGAAGAGGCAGAAGGCGATTTCCTCGCAGGCGCTGGTGGTGCCGCACTCGAACAAGCAGCCGAAAAAACCGCCGGGGCACACAGCCAGGTCAGAGTAACCGGACGGCCCTGGGTGCAGCACCCATGGGTGCCGCCAACCCGCTTCGTCCAGCGGCGAGGGGTTGAGATAGATGCCCAAATCGCGCCGGCGGTGCCGGTCGGTGGGGTGGGAGTAGAGTAACCAAGTCGGTACATCCTCCTTGCCGGTCGGCGCGGCGAAGCTCACCACGCTGCCCTGGCACCCCCGTGGCGGTTCGCCCAGCGCCTCGCACCGCGCCGAGCGCTCGAACCGCAGCCCGCAGTCGGTGCTGAACGCCACGGCCCGGCAACCCCGCGGCGCTCGGGCGTTGCAGTAGAGCAAGGGCTGGCGGGCATCGCTCCCACCGATTTCGGCTACCTGGCACTCGCCCGTCTGCCCGCCGCCGACCAAGGCACCCTTGCGCCAGCGGCGCCCGCCGTCGTCGCTGTAGAAGACGAGGGCGTGCTGCCGGGTGCAGCAAGGCAGCGGCACGACCCCACACAAGCACCGATGCACGTAGTAGGTGTATGCCGGCACGACCAGGCGCCCCGAATCCAGCTGTACCCCGTGGCCCGGCCCCACGGCGAAGGTGGCCCAACGGGACAGGTCGGCGCCGACAGCTTCGTCCGTCACGTCCCGCAGCGGGGTCCAGCGGCGGCCGCCGTCGGCGCTGGTGGCGTAGCAGAGGCGAGCGGCGCTGCAGCCCCTCCAGATTTGGCACCGCTCCGTCTTTCCCCGCTCGACGCAGATGCAGAATAGGAAGACGGTGCCGCTCCTCGTATCGTAGAGGGGACAGGGGTTCATGGTGCGGCGGCCGGGCAGCACCAACGCCGACAGCTCTTCCACCGGACCCCACTGTCGGCAAGGAGGAAAAGGGGGCTCAGCCGCCGGACGCGCCGGCGTCGCCGCACCCCGAAACCGCTCAGCATCGCTCCCGGGGATGAGCTCGCCGTGACGGAGGTTGCAGCTTGTTCCTACAGCCCAGCTTGGTTTTCTTACCTCGACCGAGGAGCCGTGCCAGCGGCCCCGGCGCAGCACCAGGTACTTGGCGTCCTCGTCCCTGGCCGAGGAGCGCTTCTCGGCGAAGGCCAGGAAGGTGGCGGCCGGGGGGATGTAGAGCAAAGCCGGGATGCGGTAGGTGACCCCGCTTACCTGCCGAAACAGCGTCTCCCGCGGGAAGACCAGTGGGGATCCAGGTGGGGTGGGGGGGGTCTCCCCGCCATCCCCCCGCTGCTGGCAGGGTGGGAAGGTCAGACAGTAAAGGGTTAAATGCTGGCCAAAAAAAAAAAAAGGGGGGGGTGGCCCTCATGCCCCCCAAGATGGGGGGATAGGGATGAGGACTCACCTTGAGGCAGGTGATGGCCCGGGACATGGTGGCCCCCCCAGTGGCCCTACTGGGACTGAGCAGGGCGGGGGAGGTTGAGAGCAGAGCCCCTTGGCGGGGTCACATCCCACTGTCCCCCCCTCCGCAGTGTCCCTCTGTGCTAGAGGGGCTCCCCTACTCCCCCC